TAACGGATACTTATTCTTAATTTGCTCTGATACCAACTGTAACGCGCCGTTTTTTTTTTTCCTTCTTTTCACATTGGGCGTAATTAACAAAGTAACCAATTCCTTAGTCAATCAGTCAAGCACAAGAAAACACTATCACAATCCCTTATTCAATGATCAAGGTAAATCTATAATGATGTACAAAGCATCGCAGACAATACAACCGTACTCAATGGCTATGCTACCATCAATTTACACATTCTATTCGGTCAAAAGAAACAAAAATCTTTATCCTGTTACTCTACACACTAGGTTCGGATGCCAACAATTTCGATCCGGACTCCGTCCCTACATATCTGTAAGGAGGAAAGAGTGAGTCCATTTAACTCAGTACGGTACAAATCAAAATACAGGTGTGAGATGCAACAATATAAACCCCAAGTTCCTACCAACAGTTCACTACCGAACCCCAGTCCCCCCCCCCCTCTATCCCACAATCCCACCTACCCAGGGTTTCCGTCCCCCGACGACACCCCAGGCATGCCAGTGATACCACCCACCACTAAGATCGGTGACCATTAACCACCTATCGATCCCTACTAGGCCACACACGCACACTATTTTCCTTCATTTTCGTCACCAATATTGGCGACCATCATCCACCTACTGACCCTTATCGGGTCACACAAACACACTTTAATCATTCTCTCCTGTCATCAACATCGGCAACCATTCGCCACCTCTCGACCTATACTAGGCCACACACACACACACACTGATCATTCTCTCTCGTCACCAACATCGGCGACCATTAACCACCTTTCGACCTATACCAGGCCACACACACACACACTCTCTCTGATTATTCTCTCCCGTCACCAGCATCGGCGACCATTAACCACCTCTCAACCTATACCAGGCCACGCACACACACTCTGATCATTCTCTCCCGTCACCTGCATCGGCGACCATTAACCACCTCTCGACCTATACCAGGCCACACACACACACTATGATCATTCTCTCCCGTCACCAGCATCAGCGACTATTAACCACCTCTCAACCTATACCAGGCCACACACACACACTCTGATCATTCTCTCCCGTCACCAGCATCGACGACCATTAACCACCTCTCGACCTATACCAGGCCACACACACACACTCTGATCATTCTCTTCCGTCACCAGCATCGACGACCATTAACCACCTCTCGACCTATACCAGGCCACGAACGCACACCACTTTCATTCACTTTTGTCACCAACATCGGCGACCTCATCACTTATCGACCCCTATCGGCACACACACACACGCTACTCATTCTCTCCCACTGCCCTCTTCGCCATTA